TGCAACTAAGGAGCCCACCTGCCGCAACTAAGACCTGGTACAAGCAAAAAAAAAAAAATCTTGCCATTTGTGACAACATGGATGAAACTTGAGGGAATTATGCTAAGTGAAATAAGTCAGACAGAGAAAGATAAATTCCACATAATCTCAATTTTGTGTGGAATCTTAAAAGAAAAAAAAATGGAAAGTAAAAGCCAAGCTCATAGATACAGACAATAGATTGGTGGTGAGGGGTTGGGAGTGGGTAAAAAGGGTGAAGGGATTAAAAGGTACAAATTTCCAGTTATAAAATAAATAAGTCATTGGGATGTGATGTACAGTATGGTGACTATAGTTAATAATACTGTATCGTATAACTGAAAGTTGCTAAGAAAACAAATCTTAGAAAAAAATGTATAACTATTTATGGCAATGGATGTTAGCTAGACTTACTGTGGTGATCATTTTGCAATATATACAAATATCTTGTACACCTAAAACTAATATAATGCTATATGTTGGTTTTGCCTCAATTAAGAAAAAAAGAATTGCTCCCAGAAGGAGTGTGCACTTAATAAATGTCCTTTGAGGTAGGTCCTTAAAGAGCTTGTCTTTACCTCCTTAACTTCTTACAATCAGAAGGCTGCACTTAACAAGCCTCCTTAATCCAGTTACTGATTCAGGTAACAAATCCAAATTGCTCCCTGCCTCTCTATCAAGTCTGGCTCCCCCAGGCCACCGAGGAGAGCCTGAGACGCCAGCCCCCTTAAAATCACAGGAAATCTTTGCTCACATTCTTTCTGTCTCCCAGGTTCCCATCCTCTATGCATCTACCTATCCAATCTCACCCCCTTCTAAGAAACTTGGCAGGGATAGTGTGGAGGGGACCGAAGCATCAGACTGGGGAACAACTAAATGCCTTTGAAGGTCCCTCTCATTCTGGCCTGTGCATCTACAAAGCACTCAAATGAGCTCACAATATACACTGAAGAGCAAAAATGAACAATTGCCAATAACAAAAGTAGAGATTTTATAGACATTTCTTACTCAGCTCAGTGGATACTTATTAAATACCAATTACATGCCGGGCACTGTGAGAAAGCTTTATTTCACCGTAAACATAATTTGAATTCAATTGAGATGCTACCACTGTCCTTTGGTTTCAGAGATCAGAACTTCCTAATTCTAACAACGGTGTCCGAACTCCAAATGTTTGGTCCCCTCTGGCCTTTCCTGGTCCATTTCTTATGTCTGTCAGTCTAGCCCTGTGGGTTTTGGGGCCATTATTCAGGATGTGCTTCTTCCCGGTCCATGCATGGATGACCAACACATCCTTCTACACACTGCTCAAACACCATGTCCTGGCCAATCTCCTCCCCAAAGGGAATGTTTCTGTGGAACTTTGCTGGCTCCTCTAGCGTGGCACTGATTGCATTCTGCTTTATAATGAAGCTGGCGTTTCTCTCTCGCTCCAGTTAGGGATCCCTGAGAACAGGCAGCAGGAAGAGCGTATCTTACTGCCTTAGTTCCCCCAGTGTAGAGGATGCACATAGTAATAACTATTATTTTCCCATGAATGAAAGAATGAATCTCTTCGGTGCCTTCTAGATCAAAATTCAGTCAAGTTCAACTTAACAAATACCCTCAGAGTCCAGATCAGTCCTGGACAGAGCAGCAGCAAGGTGGCTAGCTACTTGGCAAGAGCACAAGCTAGGGTCAGGTCAGCTTGGCTGGTCCCAGCTCTGCCGAGTCCTAGTTGGTGGCCTTGGGAGTGTTACGTAAGCTCTTTGAGCCTTAGCTTTTAACCTGTAAAGGGAAGCAATCACTGGAGCTGACCGCTAAGGTAGCTGTGAAGATTAAATGAGATAATTCACCAGAAGTCCTTAACACAGTTAGAAACATCACCTGCTGACAGCCTTTCATGGGCTAGACACGCTGAAAAAGACCACATCACTACTCTGAACAAGGGTAATGTGAAGGTGAGAACAGACGGTAAGCTGACAGTTACAAAGCAATGGCAACCACGGAGGTGAGGACAGGAAGTGGCGAGAGAGAGGGGAAGGACCACATCAGTCGGGAGTGCGCGCTGGCATCATACAACTCTGGGTCATCTGCTGCTGTTTCTCTCCAAACGTACTGAACTCAGTACTAAGTTTAAGCAGAACCGAGCCTCAGGATAGGCAAGTTCAAGGCCTAGGATCCCTGATTGTGTGTTTTGCACCACTTGAACCCAACACTGACCCATCCATGGCTAATTTAGAAAGTTTTCAGAAGATTATAAAGCACTTATCACAGATGGCTGGTAAACTTTATATTATGTTTACTTTACTACAATTAAAAAAAAAAACAAGCAGATGAGCAGAACCAGAAACTACTTCTATTTTCACATACACAGATAAAGTCACTTGGATTCAACTTTTCTTCCACCAACAAAACCTACCTGGCCCTATATGTGGCAGGTCAGAAACTATAAGGAAATCATTTCAGACAGTAAAATTAACTAAAAGATGGTGTAATCTGGTTACTTTGACCAAGTTGGGGTCTAACTGTTTCCTGCATGATTAAATTAACCTGGTTTTTAAAAATGATGTAATTTATTCCAAAGATAGGTCCATAATCTCTCTGCAATTCTAAAATCTAGAAAGCTCTGAAAATCAAAACTTTTTTCTTAAGTTTGGTTCAAAACCATATTTGGTGGCAAAACCTGACCTAACCCACGTGGGGTCACATATAGTTTTTGTTTACCCACTTGGTGTGAATGTTCATACACTTTGCAGCAGAAATATTACCATGCTTGACGACGGTACCACCCCAGGTGACTGCTGTGGAGTCATATCATATATAATATAAGCACCATGCCCAAAAGATCCGGAAATTATAAAGTCCAAACTAAATCTGGCCCTAACATTTTCAAATACGAGATGGTGAATCTCTATAAAATTAATTGTTATCAGATGTGAGGTCAATATCCCCAAGCTTTTGTTTCTGCACCAAACACACGATTCTGCCACATGTACGTATCACTCATATTACCATATTTTCTAGTACTTGACCTCACATTGACTCACCAGTTTTAAATGAATAAAACTATTTTTTGAAAGAAATATCTTATCTCTACTGAAAAAGCTAGTCATCTGAGAGGCTTCCTCTCTGTTAAAAAGGGACATTCTGAAGGATTCGAGAGGTGTTAAAGACACAGCAGTACCAAATTGAGACTTTCCCCTTAAATCATCAGAAAGATCAAAAGAAAATGGAAGAGGAAATATTTGCCTTACTATGTGATTCAATGTCATCTAGTGCTAGGTTGGAGTACCATGCCCAAGATCTACTTTCCCCAGAAGTATTTATCCTACACTTTGGGAGGCTCGCTTAGATTGTGTCATCATGCGGTTACTCAGGGAATGACTCCACTAGACAGGAAGCATTGCTGCGGTTGGGAGGTTTGGCTGTACAAAAGCATAATGTAGCAGCGAGGAGGGTAACTCTCTATCCCTGTTCTAGTTCTGTCACCCATAACCTGCTGTGTAGATCTAGCTGGGTCACGTACTGCAGCTGTCTATCAAACTAGCATAAAAACTGTCTTGAAGGCAACTCTCTGGAGCATCCATAGCCTCCACTGCCAAAGGACGCCTCAAGATAATTGGATCTAGAAGTGAACACAGACTGACAAGCCAGAACATGACACAGACTAACGGGACCTCCACTCCTCGACTAACTTCCACAACAGCTGCTGTAAATAACGGCCTTCGAAAGCAGCAGAACAAGATCTACTGTAAAAAGAAAATAAGTCAGTCTTCAAAAGTACTTTCAAGTAAACATCAGCTATTTATATTTTTAAAAATAAAATAAATGGGGCGATGGACTTCCCTGATGGCTCAGTGGTTAAGAATCCGCCTGCCAATGCAGGGGACACAGGTTCGAGCCCTGGTCCGGGAAGATCCCACAAGCCGCGGAGTAGCTAAAGCCGAGCGCCACAACTACTGAGCCTGTGCCCTAGAGCCTGCGAGCCACAACTACTGAGCCTGCGCTCTAGAGCCCGTGAGCCACAGCTACTGAAGCCCGTGCGCCTAGAGCCCTGTGCTCTGCAACAAAAAAAGCCACCACAATGAGAAGCCCGTGCACCACAATGAAGGGTAGCCCCCGCTTGCCGCAACTAGAGAACGCCCTGGTGCAGCAAAGAAGACCCAACGCCGCCGAAAAATAAAATAAAATAAAATAAAAAAATAATAAATGGGGCGAAAGGGAAAATTTTTCCTACAGTACCATACTGGGGGTTAGAAACGTTGCGAGTTTGAAAATCTCCCTTTTGCAACCATTAAAAAATTTAAAAATAACAACAACACATTGATTTAATGAAGTGATCAAAATTAACATCACCAGTAAAGGGCAAACAGACGTCATAAGCCTCTGGATCTGATGGATTGAGAAGGACACAGTATGTCTTCTGGGGCTTACCTGAATCCAGTTGTCCAGAAAACATCAGAGAGACCTACATTGAGGGAGAGTCTACAAAACATCTGGCCCGTTCTTCAGAAATGTCATGAAAGACGAAGAAAGGCTGCAGAACTATTCCAGATTAAGGACACACATCTACTAAAATACATGATCCTGGACTGGTTTCTACACCAGAAAACAAGCTATAAAGGACATTATGGGGACAGCTGACAAAACTGGGATACAGATGGCAGATTAGTAAAAGATTTGTATCCGTGTTAAATTTCCTGGTTTTGATAACTGTAGGTTAGTTAAGTAACGGAACATCCATTTCATTAGGAAGTACACACTCACATACTAAGGAGTAAGCAAGAACAATGTGTATAACTTACTCTCTCACAGTTCAAGAAAAATACTTGTATATGCAGATAGATATGCAGAATATGATAAATGTTAACAGTAGGTGACTACGGGAAAAGGTAACTGGGAGTTCTTTGATGAAACTAGGTCGAAAAAAATGACAACTCCCCATCTACTGGCTGCCACTGAGGCCACCCACCCAAGCCCCAGTCTCTGTGTGGACTCACCATTCTTCTGAGAGTCCTCAACAGAAGCTTCTGCTCCTTCGGGTCCTCTTTGGACGTCAGTAATTCAGCAAAATTCTCTGCATTTTCGGGAGACAGGCTGTCTGGGTTTTCTCCTCCATACAACTGAACCAGTATAGACAGACACTTGGATGAAACTTCAAACATTTGCGGATCCTCGTTAGGAAGCTGAAAATTAATAAATTGGACGACTTAAGCTTAACTGAAGATGGCGTTGGTATTCCTCAAGAACCACAGTAAAATTTGGCGTAACGGATAAAATGTCAGTCTGAGGACAAAGTTTAATGAAAGGAGTATTTTTTTGAGTGGATCTTTTTCAAAATGCAGACAGTAACTCAAACAAGGCTAACAGCACAAAATCAGAAGGAAATCCTGCAGTCCTTTCTTTAATCCATAGTGATGAATGACCTGTGACAAGCAAAGGACCAACATATATTTTAGATGCATATGTACAGATGCATATATTCATACAGGTGTACGTGCATCTACAGGTGTGGAAACAGTTTGATTTTTCCGAGGCACAACCCTTACATTCTTGTTTACTTAACTTGTTTAGGAAAATCCACTTTGTAGAAGATATTAAGAAACAGACAAGGCTGAACTTGTCCGTTTCCAAATCGTTATTGACTAAACAGGCAGAGAGAAAGCACTGTTTCTGTATTAAAAGGTATATTATGAAATGACAATCATACCATAAGCGTTTTAACCTTTTGATGTTTTATGTTATTTCTAATGCTCTGTTGAGCTATAACCCCTGTGACATACAATTCAGTCATTTAGCATATATCTGCCGTTCAATGGTTTTTAGTATTTTTCAGAGTAGTGCGACCACCAACAGAACCAATTTTAGAATTTTTTCATTACCTGAGAAAGAAACCCTGTACCTCGTAACCGCTACCTTCACGTCATCCCTTCCTCTCTACCCCCAGTCCCTGCCCAGTGCTAACGTGCTTTCTGTCTTTCCGGCTTTGCCTATTCTGGACATTTCAGATACTTGAAATCATATAAAATATGACCCTATCTGACTGGCTTCTTTCGCTTAGCATGTTCTCAAGATTCATCCATGCTGTAGCATGTATCAGTATTTCATTCCTTTTTATTATGTAGTAATATTCCCCTGTATGGATATACCACATTTTGTTTATCCATTCATCAGTTGATGGACATCTGAGTTGTTTTCACCTTTTGACTAGTATGAATAACACTGCTGTGAACATGTGTGCAAACGTTTTTGTGCAGACAAGCATTTGTTTCTCTTGGGTATATACTTAGAAGTGGAGGTGCTGAGTCATGTGATAACACTATGTGTAACTTTTTTTTTTTTTTTTGCGGTACGCGGGCCTCTCACTGCTGTGGCCTCTCCCGTTGCGGAGCACAGGCTCCGGACGCGCAGGCTCAGCGGCCATGGCTCACGGGCCCAGCCGCTCCACGGCATGTGGGATCTTCCCGGACCGGGGCACGAACCTGTGTCCCCTGCATCGGCAGGCGGACTCTCAACCACTGCGCCACCAGGGAAGCCTATGTGTAACTTTCTGAGGAGCCGCCAGACTGTTTTCTAAAGCTGCCATTAGCACCAGCAATGCGTGAGGTTTCCAGTTTTCCCACATCCTCACCAACACTTGTTATTACCTATATTTTTAATTACAGTCATCCTAGTGCATGTGGAGTGGTAACTCGTGGCGGTCTTTCATTTGTACCTCCCTGATGGCTAATGATGTTGAAAATCTTTTCATGTGCTTGTTGTCCATTTGCATATCGTCTTTGGAGAAATGTCTATTCAGATACTTTGCCCACTTTTTAAGATAGGTCATACGTATTTTTAGAATTGAGTCTAAGTGTTCTTTATATATTTTAAATACAAATCCCTTAGCAGATATATGATTTTCAAAAATGTTTTCCCATTCTGTGGGTTGCCTTTTCACTTTCTTGATAGTGTCCTTTTTAAAAAAAAATATTTATTTATTTGGCTGCGCCAGGTCTAGTTGCAGCATGTGGGATCTAGTTCCCTGACCAGGAATCGAACCTGGGCCCCCTGCATTGGGGGCACTGAGTCTCAGCCACTGGACCACCAGGGAAGTCCCTTGATAGTGTCCTTTGAGGCACAAAATATTTTTTATTTTGATGAAGTCAAATTTATCCAGTTTTTAAAAGATTTTTTTGATGTGGACCATTTTTAAAGTCTTGATTGAATTTGTTACAATACTGCTTCTATTTTACGTTTTTTTGAGTTTTTGGCCATAAGGCATGTGGGATCTTAGCTCCCCGACCAGGGATTGAACCCACACTCCCTGCATGGGAAGGCAAAGTCTTAACCACTGGACCACCAGGGAAGTCCCTATCTGTTCCTTTTATTCCTTGTGATTTTGGTGTCAAACCTAAGAAACCATTGCCTATTTCAAGGTCCTGAGATTTAAGCTTCTTCTGAGAATTTTTATAGTTTTAGCTCTTACATTCATTTTTAAGAACTTTATAGTTTCAGCTTTTACATTTAGGTCTTGATCCATTTTGAATTAATTTTTGTATATGGTATGAGTAGGCGACCACCTTCATTCTTTTGCAGGTGAATAAATCTTATTTTGAGATATTTGCAGGTTCATATACCATTGTAAGAAACAATACAAAGAGATAGCACACATACTTCACCCAACCTCCCCAATGGAAACATCTTGCATAACTATAGTACAAGATCACAATCAGGAAATTAACATGTATATTAGGACAGCCACTCCTGCTTTTTAAAAATTAATATTTGCATGGTATATACTTTTCAAGCTTTTACTTTCAACCTGCCTGTATCATATTTGAAGTGAGATTTTTGTAGACAACATACTGTTAGACCATGTTTTGTTATCCATTCTAGTCATCTCTGTCTTTTAATTGGTGCATTTAGACCATTTACATTTTTATGATAAATATTAAGATGCTAGGGTTTAAGTCCAACATGCAATTTTATTGTCTTCTATTTATTTCCCCTGTTTCTTATTTTTCTGATTCCCTCTCTTTTTTTAACCTTCCTGTGGGTTACTTGAACATTTGTTTTATGTTTTCATTAAGTATTATTAAATTCTCTTTTATTCCCAATATTATTTTCTTAGGGTTGCCATAACAAAGTACCACAAACCGGGTGACATAAACAACAGAAATGTATTACCTTGCGGTTCCGGAAGCTAGAAGTTCAAAATCAAACAGCAGGACCCTGCTCCCTCTGAAACTCATAGTATGAATCTTTGCTTGCTTCTTATGACTTGCTGGAAACCTCTGGCATTTCTTAGTTTGCGGCTGCATAATTCCCATCTCTGCCTCCGCCATCACATGGCTTCCTCCCTGTGTGTGTCTGAATTTACACGGTTGTCTTCTTACAAAGACACCAGTCATATTGGATTAGGGGCCCCCCTACTTGAGTATGACCTCATCTTAATTAACTACATCTAGACCATCAGTATTTTCAAATGAGGTTTAATATTCTGAAGTGCTGGGAGTTAGGACTTCAACATATCATTTTTGTGGTGGACACAATTCAACCCATTACACTTCCTATCAACTTTCTTTTGTGCTCAGCTGTTTATTCACCTTGGTTTCTCTCCTTCTGGCTGTTATGCTTCCCCAAATGTCTGGTGGTCCTTGGCTTTCTATTCTATGAATGAAAGATTGGTCAGATTATTATAGGCAGCTGGCTTCCATTTCCTTTCCATTTGTATATGTCTGATTCTTCAAGTTGCCTCCTCTGCCTGTGTTCTATGATTTCCTCAAACTCCAAATGCTTCTTTCTAGGGCATAACCCCAAACTAGAAATCACATCAGCTCGTTCATTCTCTTTACAGTGCAGTTCTTGACCTATTATGTTGCAATAAAGCAGGGCAAAATTAATAAGGGAAGGGGACTGACAGGCCTGCCTGTTCTAAATGTGCACCTTCAATTAGCCTGGTTGAGTGCCTGGGGCCTCCATCAGTTTTCCACTCTGAGTTTATAGATCATCTGCATCTGTTCCTACCTTCTGGTTAGTTTCTTCCTATGTATGTTCTGGGTGATAGGTTTCTTCACTGTATTTCGATTCAGTTCCATCTGCTTCCTATAATCTAGTAACTGCACAAAATTTCTTTTCCACTAACAGCTTCTCCTTCCATTCTCCCATGATTGTAAGATATTTAATCCTTTCTCTATTTTCATAGCTTTTGGGTAGTTAGTGAGATACGAACAGGCATTCATGCTTCTATTTCAGTCTACTTTAACATTTCTTCATTTCTGAGTTAGTTTTGCTTCACTGTTGAAATCATGGGAGGATGCTTATCATAAGTAATAATTTCAAAGATGGCTTATTTCTTGGATCCTTGTAAACTTGATAATGTTTGTGTTTTGTTTTGTTTTGTGTGCCCTGCCCCACCACTACCAAAAAGATTGTGATGGTATAAAAATCTTTCCATCTTCCCTGGACTAACAGGATAAGATTATACCCAAGTGCTTGCAAAAACAAACTAGCAGAAAAATACACGAAACAATCGTTTTTAAGACACTAGACATCAGGTAATGTAGGACAGTGATGCCCAAGGGATGGAGAACAATTGAGGTGAGCTCTACTCTTGTCCCAGGTCAGAGGCTTACGAGGTCACCAGGCCTAAGCACAGGGACGGCAACTGAGGTGGAAACCAGCAGATAAAAATTTTAACTTGAGGAGACAGAGTGAAAAGTCTCAGAAAACCAAAGCAGCTAGAGTTCATAGGACAAAGTACCAGAGAGAAGAGAGCAGGCCAAAGCTCACTCTGAAGACACAGGTAACCTGGATAGCACTTTATCCATTAGAGAAAATGAATTTACGGTTAAAAACCTTCCTACAAAGAAAACTACAGGCCCAGATGGCTTTATTGGTGAATACCAAGTCTATACAAATTCTTCCAGAAAGCTAAAGGAAATGGAAACTTCCAAACTCATTCTATGTGGCCAGTACCATGCTGATACCAAAACTAGACAAACACATTCCAAGAAAAGACAACTTCAGTCCAATAGCCCTTACGAATATAGATGAAAAAATCTTCAGCAAAGTGTTAGCAAACCAAATTCAGCAACATAGTAAAAGTATTGTATACTATGGCCGAGTGGGATTTATCCTAGGAATGTAAGGCTAGTTTAGCATCTAAAAATCAATGTTAGGTGCAATATTAATAGAATAAAAG